CCTAGCCTCCATGGGCTAGGTCAGTGGGTGCCAGTCTAAGCCCTTTTCTTCATTGCTGCACTTTACCATTTTCAATTCATTAAGTGCACCGAAGTGGTCACAGTGGTTGAGCACACCAGGCTTCTACTCGCCAGGTCTCTTTTAATTCTTGTCCTGGAAGAGGTTCTTCTGATAGGCCATGATTCTTTCCTGCCTCGATGCATCCAGGGCAAACTGCTTGCTCAGAATTCAAAAACCTAAAATCTTTTTTTTTCCTTCCCCCCTCTCTGTAGATCCTTCCTCCAAATGCAAATCTTCCACTCTCTCAGAAGTTCTGGGTGGGTCTGCATGTCTTTTCCAGTGCAAATTTTCTGACTCTAAAGGTTCTGGGTGAGGCTCAGGTTTTTAATCTAAGACTCCAATAGTCTGTATACAGGGCTAGTGGCACAGTACCGGGCAATGTTTCCTTCTTTTGTACATAAGGTTGCTATGAGTTAGAGACTACTTGACAGCACCCCACAACAACAACAGGAACAGTGGCTTGAAACAAAAAGCCTGTGCTGCTTCCAGGAAATTCTAGTTCCCCTTGTAGCATATCCAGTCAAGTATTAGCTGAAGTCAGAACTAAATGCTTTCTGTAATCTATATCCAATATTCATTTCCATCATACATTTAGGTAGGAGAAACATTCAATACCCATAGTACATTTAGATAAGCACATAACCCTTTTTTAAACACTCAGTTTAATTTTCTTTCCATACCTTGATTATCTTTCCATTTATATGCATGTGGCCTTGGATCTTTGACTGGGTGGAATCAGTAGATCCTGTCCCACTATCAAGCATCTGCTTTAATAAGCATGCCTGTTGCCTCAGGGTTGTCTACCCTCAGCTGCAGCATAACATCTTTCAGTCATTACAGGTAACAACAAAGTAACATTCTAAGAAGAGTTTCTCTTCCCATGGCCCTTCCTATTTTCTTTTACAAAGTCCTATGGTTCCATGCCAGAGCCATTGCAGCTAATCCCACTCCTGACACCAATTGCCAATAGGGTGTCGGGGAGGCATCATCTTACTTCCCCTGGCTTCACAAAGATGAGAGAATCAAGATGAACATCAACAGCCCAAGGCTGTTGCCTATGAGGCAGAGGTCAGACATTCCACCACCCTCTAACCCTTTGCCAATTCTGACACCAACTGCCCCTCCCACAGCTTTCTCTACTCCTTCACTGGGTTCAATAATTTGTTGCGTGGCCACATAGAACTCAAAGACAATACTCAATGACTGTGGCTTTTATTAGGGAAGTAACAGGTTATTATTCTGGATCAGATATGACTCATGACACAGTTTTTCAATCAAGACAGCCTTTCCTCAGCCATGCTGTAAATACACTTCTCTCTGGCCTTGACCTCTGTCCTGCTTGGGCAAGTGTTAAAAAGCTCTTTTAGCTCTGCCAAAAAGAGGTACTCCACTCCACCAGCAAGCCTCCTGCCCAAAGATATACTACTTTCTTGTGCTGTAGGCCAGGATGCTAGCTGCTTTGTCTCATGCTGGTCTATTGTTTCTGTTGCCCTTACTGCCACCATCTTTCTCATGTCTTTCTAACATCTCAGTGCAGGGATCTTGGGTCCAAGGATGCACTCCATTCCTGCTCTTCTTTCTTGATAGTAATGAGATCCCCCTTTCTGCATCTGGGATGGTTTGTTTTAAGCCTACTGAGATGAAAAAACTGACCAATCTCCACGTTAAGGTTCCATATTCCTTATTGCCTGGTCCCACCCCCACATTTTGCATGACCATTAATTGCTCCTATGCAAGTTCAAGTTGAAACGGAAGAAAATTAAAACAAGTCCATGAGAGCCAAAATATGACCTTGAGTATATCCCACCTGAGTTTAGAGACCATATGAAGAATGTATTTGATGGATTGAACACCAGTGACTAAAGACCAGATGAGTTGTCGGAGAACATCAAGGACACCATACATGAGGAAAGCACAAAGTCATAAAAAGAGAGGAAAGGTAGAGAAGTCCAAAACAGGTATCTGAAGAATACTATCATTAATATCACATGCAAGTAAAATTTTGCTGAAGATAATTAAAAAATGGTTACAGCAGTACATTGCAAGGAAACTTCCAGAAATTCAAGCCAGATTCAGAAGACGATATGGAATGAGGGACGTCATTGTTATGTTAGATGGATCTTAGCTGAAAGCAGAGAATACCAGAAAGATGTTTACTTGTGTTTTATTGACTATGCAAAGGCATTTGACTGTGTGGATCATAACAAATTATGGATAACATTGAGAAGAA